ACTAGAAAACATGCAGTTTGGTTTAGGTGGGGTATGTACAGGGTTATTCAGTTACTGAGTACAGAACTGGGGCTTTATAAGGATTCTGTAGATTGATATCGTTTAAGAAATTCGACGTCTTTCTTTCCCTCACATATAACTGCTTAAATTGACCATACCCTTAATAATTAGACATAAAATCTGACATTCAAAAGCGTGTCTCAGAAGGATCCGTTTGCTTCTGTACTAGACAGTACTTTTGTCCACGCTCTCAAGGAGCGGGGTTTAGTTTGTTGAGCTCTGTCTTATCGCCTGTACTGTCTCCAGCGTCCATTTATTGCAGTTTAACCTCTGACCCGATGATCCTCACTGAATAACGGCTCTAACTTGTGCTCTCTGACCCAACATTTAGCCTTAGCAGAGAAGGAGTAAGTAGATAGATTTGTGCAAGCATCAGACACGATGAGAGGCTCTTAGTTGCCTAAATGAAGTGCAACTATAGGGGTTGAAAAGTAGAGATTCGATTCCGTTTCTGACTTTGTAAACTAATTATTAAACAGTCTCTGTGGGGACATGTTCTTTTATAAAGAGGTCACAGTCAATCTGCTAGACAATAAATTTCGTTCCCCATGGAACCCGAAGGTGTTACACCGTATTCACAGGTGTCTGCCATTGGGCTGTACCATGGCCCAATTTTATCCCGTGAGTCCACATCTGCACACACCCATCTAGGGTACATTTTAACCTTTAAAGCTAAGTGGGAACTATTTACCACCTACTTTAATAATAAATAACTACGTGTTGCCCACAGAGCGTATTTGTTGGTTTTGTGTGGTTCTCAAAATAAAAAAACAATTTCTCTAAACTGCATTAACTAATTGATCTTTGCCGTGGAGACGTGAAGTGTTTTCTTTGAGGTACGGATTGAATTTATCAGGTATTATAAAGGCGGACGTAAGCTTTGAGGGATTGTCTTGCCCCCCCACGTGTAGGTCTCCGAAGTGGCCTCTTCCCTCCCTTCTGGTTTTGAGGGTTTAAGGTTTTGAATACATTTCTCATCTTCCTCCTTGCAGATTTTGAAAACTGATGTGAAAATGTATGAATGGAAGTCATTTAAATGCAGTGCTATCCGATTTTGAAATGTAGCATACATACCTTCGATGTATCGATCTGCGAAGATGCGAGTGTTTACAGGTCGTACATAATTTTGAAATACATAGACTCGTCTCGCTGTAGCTTTATGTAATTTTCAAAAGATTACGTTTGACCGGCATGCTTCTGGCATAATGAAATTCATATCAGCTCAGGAACTCAAACCCGTCTTCTGAAGAAGTTTGATTTGATTAAAAATAGGAGGGTGGCAAGTAGGGATACTTAATAGATGTACGCTACACTCATTTGCATATTAAACCAACAGTAACGAGAATACTTGCATTTATATCCAAATTAAAAGCTTCTGTGTCCTTCATTGTTCTTTCTGTTCTTGGAGTTACGCCCCTTTTGAGCCTTAGTTTCATCTTATCATTTATTATTGAGTTGTATAAAAATACTTGATCATAGAAGCGATAGGACCTCTTTGACGGAGGATCAGAGCATCGCAAGTTCTCTACCATAAGAGAAAAATGTGGTTAGACATGCATGCATTCCTGAGCGGGAGTCTACCCACAATTGTAATGTACTGGTTTATTTATTGTGGTTTATTTAACTCTGTTGTCAGCATCTCAGAGAAGGCTATGGAGCGTCTAATGGTAGGGTGATTGATAACTAATGAATTGTAAACCTGTGGAAGGAAGCGGCCGTGATGTATTTTAAGATACTATACCGACATCTTCCTGGAGTGACTGAAGAAAGCCACGTACTACAGTCATAATGGCCGGCCTCTAGGCTGAAATATAAATCTGAGACCTCTTGAATACGAAGCAGCAGTGCTAACAACTCGGCTGCCGCGTGTTGGCAACCTAAATTCGGGTGCGCCGTAAAACGGCTACCCCGATCCGCGCGTGCTTTTATAACATGTACATTGTTTTTAAACAACGTAATACTTTTTTTTTTAGCACAGAACACATGAAATATGTATACCTCGGTGCTGTCACTATTTATGTCCTTACACCTGCTTGTCTTTTTTTCCCCTTGCGTTAATGAAACGGAGTAATGTGTCGCTAACTTTTAGTTGCCACTGTACGTCGTCACTCAGAATGGCCCTGAGAAATCTTTAGTACTTTTTTTAATTAAAAGGAGGGTGCAGGGGACCGTAGATGTAACGAGTATTGTTAGATGCCAGGAACACTCAGTCTGTCGTCCGAACCCCTGGCTGAAGGAAATGCTTCCATTTTAACATTACTTATTTGTAGTGCAAGATGGAGTTACATACTTTAGAAAGGCGGATGTTAGCAGGAAAACATATTCCAAGTATCGTGTCAAGAAACTACAAATACATTAGTTTCCTTGGGATGCCTACTCGGATACTAAATTCAAATGTAATAACTCACGTCACGCGACTTTCGTAATAAATAGGAACTTTGGTATCCCCATAAGATTTAAATGGAAAAACGCATTCCGCTGAATTCCATAGGCTGATTAGATCAAAATAATCTGGCCTCGAATGTGTCAATGTATTTTAGGGTCCCTAGCCCTATTGAGTGGTTCGATTTAGCTTGCGTAGGGGCCTTATATATTTTATTGGAGAAGCAATATCTATATTTTTTCGGTTAAACGTTTCTGCTATGCAGTGTAATAAAAGTATGTGCATTGACATCTGGCAAAATCAATGTCTTAAGCGCAGACCGACAATTTCTCATGTATATTTAAACGTAGTTGCTAGACCTAATACAACTAACTCCGTGGACCAGAGTCATTCCTGAGAAACTGACGGCCTCTCTGGTAGTCAAATTTCTCGCCTTTTATGGAACTCGAAGGTTTATTACCATTTCACAAGAACCCGCCATTGATCCCTGTCCTGAACCAGGACAGACTAGTCCACACCGTCGTATCCTACTTATTTATGATCCATTTCGATGTTATCCTTCCACCTGTGTCCAAGTATTCGGAATGGTGTTCTCCCTTCTGGTTCTGTAAGCAAAATTTTGTTCGCATTTATCATTTTTCCCTTTGTTGTCACATCGGTGTAAGACTTCAGTCTGGATTAAAAGACGCCTAATTTTATTCCAAGAATTTAGAATAAATAATTTAGAAATGTCTCATAAACGGACATTACGCGAAAATGGTAAAGTAAAACACTGATTAATAGTAAAAATTATCTCCTCGGATGTTTAATGTTTTCTTTTCATATATTTTTGTTCCATACTGTTCCTCCTGGTATTTATCTGGGAAGGAGGATTTATGCTACAAATCAGAAAGAAATAAGTCCGACTGTCAACAAAATATGCGCGGAGTACTTCAACGGGTTACGGAGGAAAGAAAGAGAGAAATGAAACTGAAAATGTGTAGAATTCAGTAACAGAAGATTTTACATTGAGTCCGTAGCAGGAATTTCTGATTTGTGATTTGTGTCGTATATAACACATAACTTGCTGTGAAATGTTTTGGCCTACAAGTAAAGGAGCTGGTCCCTGTCTGAAACAAGAATATATTTTATATCTCTTATGTTTTCATATAGCAGAGTTCTCCTTGCGAAGTTAGTCAAGAAATTCCTCGCTTTTTATAGAATCCAAAGATTCATTACCGTGTTTATAACCGCCACCGGTCCCTATTCTGAGTTATATTCAGTCCATATCCACCCACACTATTTCCCTAAGATTCGTTTTAGTATTATCCTCCCATATTTTTTTAGTTGTTTCCAGTGGTTACACACGGCCTAGGACTTATTCGAATTCTTTGAGACGACCAAAACAATTTAAAATGGACATGATTACATTATGAGTGGGTTAACAGGTATTAGGGTATATTCAGTGACATAACTGAATTGTAATGTAATTATAAGTTTGATTGCGAGTTTCACCCAAGTATTTCTGCTCAACTTAATTTCAGTGTTGGGCGTTGAAGTTTTCACAACATTCTTGTCCTCAGATCTTTAATCCCCACTTCATTGCAAACGGAAGTGGGAATTATAGAATATCAACTGGAGAATACATTTTGAAATGGAACTTAATCTCTACAGTTCAGTCTGGTACACAGCTCTCTCTGTTAGCCTATATTCATTATGAACTCCGGCAGCCTCGTGTACGATTTAATGAGTTTTGATATTGGTTTCATTTACAACTGTGCCAGGAATTGTGTGTAATTTCTTGTGGTTAGGTTTCGAACAGTGTACGCTGATACTTGAAGTTCTTTACAAATAGGAGGTTTGAAAATAATTAGTTTGAAATTATGTGAAATTTGACGGTGAATTTTAAAGTTACAGTAACGCGGGAAATATACAGTTTTTGCTTAGGCAGGTAAACATTAGCTGTATAAATATGTAAAGTAAAGTAAAGCTAAGCTGTCCCACTATGAGCCATGTAGGCGCTTGGGGGGAGAGGAAGTATAGCTCCTACTCATTCATGACCTCGGCACTAGATGGGGGTAAGTGGTCAGCATCACGCCCCGGCCGTGCTTTACCCCCGGGAAAGGACCCCGGTACCCATTGGATATGAGGCTGAGTGGGCCCCAGAGCCGGTCTGGACGCAGAGGCTAGAGGAAAAATCCTCTGCCCCCCGTCGGGGATCGCATCCCGGTCGCCTAGTCCGTAGCCAGTCACTATACCGACTGAGCTACGCCGGCTCACATATAAATATGTACTGCATGTAAAACAAAATATAATTTTAGAAAAAAATTCCGGTACTTATGGTATGCTGTGTTTTAATTTCTGATAAAAGTGGTACGTCTCAGGAAGACATCCTTGGTTTAGACCCTTGATGAAGAGCCTAATAATCTTCTGCGTAACACAGTTGCAGAAAGAAAATAATGGCTTTGAATACATAATGTAAACAAAACATGCCGTTTTGAAATATTGCCCCATTAAATCACGGCGATAAGACTATTTTAAATAAAATATTTTATTGAACTCCTACCACTGTTTGCAGATTACGTATGCACACACCTGTGGTAACACCGATATGAATGGCGACAGTGACAGATTTGAGTGTGACTTTTAACAAATGTACAAATGCGAGCGCTGTAATCCGTTCCGGATGATGGATGCGTCGACAACAGGACAACGCGAACGTCTCGTGCGGGAATTTGGTGCGAAAACATGCGTTATGTAAATCAGAAGTTTCTCAGTGACGGAGAGTGCATCACAGCAAAACGTGACGGGTCTCGGCGTAGTTTTTGTGCTGCCTTCCCCAAAAGCACGTGTCAGTGTTCCAGATCAATTAACTTCTTTTATGAATTACTAACGTGGTAAGTCGATGAAGCAAATTCTTTCTTGAAAATGTGATAGTATCTCAGTTGGTCAAGAAATTCGGTACCTTCTGTGGCAACCAAAGATTTATTACGCCTTCCGTGTTAAGAGCCAACCAGTGATTCCTATCCTGAGCCAGCTAATTTAATCCACTCCCTCACATCCAATTATAAGATGCATATTATCCTCACATCTAAGTCCAGGTCTCTTCAGATTTTCCGACTAAAATTTGTTGTTATTTATGATCTCCCAGTGCGTGTTACATGTTTCGCATATCTCATCCTCTTTTAAATCATGACGCTAATGATTTTGTCGTGACCTTGCGACGACCCCTCATCCAAGGAGTCCTGCCAACTGTCGAAAAAACTATTCCGAAACCTCAAATTAGGAAGCGTCCGAAGTTTTCCGAGAACTGTACAGACACAGGGAGAGACAAATTCTTTCGCATTTAGTGAACAGTATAAATTGTGAAGATTTCTGTCCTCTGGGTTGTTGCGCTGTGTAGTCTGGTAGATGTTTCAGAGGTCATACTACCAGACTACACAGCGCAACAACCCAGAAGACAGAAATCTTCATACTTACCGCTGTGAAAACCTCAAATCATTCGTCATTTTTCTCCATCCGCCTGGTACGTTCTGTCTATTAGGTTCAAATATTATCCTCGCTACTTATGAGTACAAAACAAAAATGGAATATTAATCATTCCGTTATAATCGTTTCTCAACCAGTGTGATCCATCTTGTTGATTGCGATGTATACATTAAACAATAGTCTATAACAGTGGTGATATTTTGTTGAGACCTGTCTGCAATCTAATCGGGTGTGCTGTTGATACTTAGGCATGTTACATATTATTATATTTGTCTGCCTTTCTTGTTATTTGTTACACTTAAAGTGCTGTTAATAGTCTGTGTTTAATTTATTATGTAGTATATTGCATATTACCAGAAATGGGACTTATTGTGTAAAGGGCTGAAAGAAGACATTAAACGCATAACGAGACATGATGAACAATTTTTATTCGTTCATGCATATGCAAACAGTTTTATTGTTGCACATGAGATAGGCTATCGAATTATATTTTAGTCTGGAGCCATCGATGAAACGTTGAGAAGCCCCGCACGATATTACTCATCTAATATCACCGAGTGTGTTATTGACAGAACACGGCACAGTTCCGAATGTTTTAAACTTTGTTGACTGTACAAATCGCATGGACAAATGTAATTTGTGTGCCGTGACTGAATAGTTAATTATGCCAAGCTCAAATAGAATCCCCTGTAAGCCACGAATATCCTCTCCCTCCTTGCCCTCTTGTATGATTGTTACGTATTTTTAACTCTTAAAACGTTTGTCGGAATATAAGTTACTTCGTTACAACGTGTACATTTGTATTATAAATGGAAGAAACAATTTTACTTTGATATGGATATCAGGAAAGTGGTCTTTGAGAATGTTTAGACCCTTGGGGTTCGATTCCTAGCAGGGACAAGAATGTTTCTCTTCGCCACCGCATTGAGGCTAGCTGTGGGGCCTGTCAGGTTTCTAATCCACTGAGCACTGGAGATATAGTGGCCAGAGCCAGAAGCTCACTGCCATCTAGTGCCGAGATTAGAAATAAATGGAATCATGCCACCGTTCTTTCATGTGTATTTGCGGTGAAGTTCTTAGGTATAATAACTTAACCCTTTACTTGTTTTAGTAAAGAATAAGGTTCAATCCTTCGGAACTTTAAAATTCATAATGCGAGTGACGGAATCCTGAAACATTTTGTGTTAAAATGTTTTATTTTATTTTTATCTGTCGTCTAGGTCAGTGGTATTCAACCTGGGGTACGCGAAGACATCTTGGGGGTACGTGAAATTTAAAAAAAATATTATTACTTTATGATAAACACTGAATAATCAGTAATGTAATTTATTTTAGATGTAGATTATATACTATGTATAACTTGAATTATACACCAACAACTTTGGGGGTACAAAGTTGAAGAGAAATTATATCTGGGGGTACGCGAACAAAAAAGGTTGAATACCACTGGTCTAGGTGTTACTGGAACCACAGCGTTTCGGAAGTTGGTTCTACTTTCGTCTTCAGGTGACAGGAAGGTAAAAGCCTAATTTGTTGGGTCCCTGGTTGACTAACCTTTGAAACATTGTGATTTTAATAATACCTAGGCGATGGACAAAGTAAAAAAAAAATCACTGCATCGTACCATCGTCAGAAAACTTCAGACTTTCCGTAATACTTGATTCACTTGGTGGTAGTGTGTACTGTTCGCTAGTTGAATAAATAATTTTAAGCGGCATGGAAATGACGCTGCTCTGCCATGGATGAGGACGTGGATGTCACACCCAGCTCTCTTGAGTGTATTCAGACACCCCTGGTGAGAGGTCGTAATTATAGGTTTGGAATACTTCATGAGTAGCACACGAACCCTCGATACGACAGACGTCAGCAGCTCGGTCCTCTAATTGAGTTTGGTTTGACTCGATTATTTTTTTCTGTCTGTACGCGGTTTGATGAATTATGTGTACTGAGTGTGTTATGGTAGGATTTTTAGTGTACTGAGAAGAATTGTACTCAAAATGTTTGCTTTTGGGAAATATCGACCATCAGGCTGTTGTATTGCTTCAGTCTGTATAATTAAATTGTGACTTCTGTGTGCATTGTTCTGGTTACTTCAAATATGAATTACATACATGGTTTAATTAATGCGCCAATAACATGCATTGATTTCTTCATTTAGAGGTCGATGGATGTCTATGACGGCTGTAATCGGTTTAACTTTTTATTATTTATATAAAATCTGATGCAACTGAAATATGGACATGTAACTCTACTTCCCAAAACAATACCAGTCTTCTTTGGAGCCGTAATTGTATTTGTAAATTTATCTTTTATTATGCGATAGTTGTTTCAAGTGTACATGTATGCAGCCGGAAGTCTATGCTCGACTACCGACAAGGTTTCTTTTCCAAATCGACAACCTAACAGATTTTTGCGAGATTTAGTATGGACGGTCAGAATTACGGTGTTTTTGATTATTGACTAACTCCGTGGAACAGAGTTTTTGAGAAGCTATTGATCCGTCGGCTAGCTGAAGAATGTATTGAACGTAACTGTTTACTATTATATTCACAATATCTTGCGACTCAAACTTTTCCTGATCATGTTAGCTCATTTAAGCCCAAGTTGATATACCACAAGCTCAGTTTGAACTTTGTAAATAAATGGTCCTGCACATGAAAGGGGCTGCGTAGTATAAAATACATGTCTGGAAAGGTCAATTATATATATATCTGAATCATATAGGTATGGTGTATAGGCCAACTCTTCGAAATGAAGGTCTAATTTGTAACTGCAGTGTAGGTTTTTATCTGCAGTAGGCTAAAATGAAAGTGGAAACCAAGCGAATGTACAAAAATAGGAAAGAATGGACATGGAATTGAACTTTTCCATATTTGCTCTTTATTTTATTTAGCCGGATTTGTATAGGCTTTATGATTTTGTGTTGGAAACAACTGGATGTGTTGAGCACCTTGTCAGTTCTATTCCTCCTCGGTCGCCTTGAGGATTGTTTCGAAATTGCTGCTGAAAATAGATTGCTATCTGTTATTGCCGATGAGAGACTTCAAAACAGAACTGAAAGGACCATAGTTGTACGTGTTTCGGGTTATAGCTAAATCCGAAAATATCACTCATATGAAATAGTTCTCTGTTCCGAGCCAGATGAATTCAGTCTACATTCTAACACCAGGTTTCTTTAAAACACTGCATCTTCGAAGTAGTTGTAGTAGCTTTCTTTCAGGTTTAACTAATAAAATGTAGATATATTTATGATATATACATGTGTGCCAC